TGGGTCCAGGCCATGAAGCCGACTGGAAGTCAGGACAGGGCCGAGAAGTCTCTGTGTGCCCTCTGCCTGTCCCTGACCCAAAAAGCTCTCTGTGGCCCTGGCAGCCCTTGGGGGCGCTCTTGAAGACGGCTGTGGCCTCTCCACTCGAAGTCCAGGGGTGGGGGATCTTGCTGAAGGTGCTGGGGGTCGGACATTCGAGAGAAGACCGCAGACCCAGGAGGAGTGAGCGTGTCTCCCCAGGTCTCCAGGGAGGAGTGAGGTCCATGGCTCTGGAAGGCACGGGGGCAGCCTCTAATTCACGTCGCAGGGCTGGCCCCGGGCCCCAGGCGAGGCGGTTTGGGATGCCCTTCCCCTCGCTCTCTCCTTACCGGCAACAGCATGCCATGAGGGGCGTGCCTCTGCAGGCCGGCCACACACAGGGACAGCCACGAGGATGCAGGCCGGGTGGTGTCTATGACCGAGGCCTGGCCACTTTGGTCTCGGGTCAGACCTCCAGCCTCCAGACCGGAAGGGGGCATAGTCCTGCTGTCAAAGCTGCCCAGCCTTCGTGCTTCTCCTGGGCCACCCAAGGACATGGAAGGGATTAGATTAAATGAACACAGCCCTGTACCCACGGGGAAGACCTGGGGGATGAGGGCAGGCCAAGCTGGGGTGTCTTTCAGAGAAGGAGGGCGGCTGAGGCCTCAGGCACTCTGAGCCTGCGATGCCCATGGCCCACGTGGCTCCTGGGAGCTGGGAACCCCGCCTGGGCTGCGTTCCCACCAAGCCTTGCTGCGTTGTCACTTGGGCAAGGCCTTGTGGCTTCCCTTGCTCATCCAAAGGAGGGACAGGCAGGACTCTTACGCTCCCGGCTCCAGGGTCCTCGGGATGCCATGACACCTGTAGCTAAAACCTTGGCCCTGAATGGCTCCCCCGAGCCCCATGCTGGCCTGGGCTGTGCCTTAGCTCACTCTGCCCTTCGGCTACAAGGTGCTGTCAGAAGCGGTCAGTGCAGGCAGTGCGTGCGCCACCCAGCCGCCATTCGACCCCACACGCCGTGCCCAGCCCAGCCAGGGGCCTCCCCACGGGCCGGTCAGAAGGGGGCGGCCTTCCCGGAGGAAGCTGCCCCTTCCTCCTGCTGGTCTCCAGCACCCTCCCCTGGCCTGCAGAAGCAGGTCGGAGTGGAATGGGTCGCTAAAGACCACTCATGAAGGCAGAGGCATCCCTCCCCACCCTGCTCTCGCCCACTAAGTCCCCTCCCTGAGACATCTGTCTCCCACGCAGGGAGGACCCAAATGCACAGGCCGAGGGCGCGTCTGTGCCCTGCTGCACATCGCCGTGACGACGGGGCACAGTGCACAGCTCCAGTGCAGAAGCGACACCTGGCGCCCGGACGCCGTGTCAAAAGTGCTTCGGGCAAATGCCCCTCGGGACCCAACCTGTCGCCTCCATCCCCCCTGCAAGGGACACGGAGCCCCATTGTCTGCCCACCTGCCACAGCGGAGGGCCACTCCTTGCTGCGCCACGGCCCGCAATGGCAGTGACAGTGATCGTCCTGCCTAGTCCCCCACCTCACCAGTGCCCCGGCTCCTACCGACCCGCGCCCAGCCCTCATCGCAGCTTCTGCCGGCCCCCTGGGGCACACACGCCCCTGCGCTCGCACTGCGCTGGGGAACTGAGGCCTCACCCAGACTCCACGCAGTGTCTCCACTCGCAGCCAGTGCTGCAGGCCGTCCCCACGTGCTCGCGGGGTGTCGGCCTGGCCGTGAGGGCACCCCGTCCTCCCTGCTGTACGCCCTCACCTCCGGCAGAGCCACCCCAGCTTCTCCTCCGGCAGTTCACTCGCCTCCTCCCCCCTCCTGCACCCCCTCAGCTCCTGCAGCAAGGCCAGAGCAGCCATTCGGTGCCGGTGCCGGTGCCGGTGCCGGCGTGAGGGCGTCTGAGTCAGCTCCTCCCAGTGGCCACCGAGGGGTCCTCCCGTGCTGCTCGGTTGCTGGGAACAAGTGTCTGTGCTTCTCAGAGACTGGAAACCTCAGTCTGAGAACCAGAGCAACCTCGGCGACCCCGGGTGGCCTTCAGGACCCTCCCCAGGTACCCGCCCAGCTTGCCTCACTCCGCCCCTCACTGCTGGGCCGAAGGCCCTTGTTCTCAGCACGCACCTCCACACTCCAGAAGCAGCCAGAAGCCCCCCATCGAAGGTCCCCCCAGGCCAAGAGGTGTGAGCCCCTTTCCAGCCCTCATAGCCAAGGGCAAAGTTGGGCCATGTCACCCTCAAACCTGGTACGTCAGTGGAGGGGCCGCGGGTGTGCGGCAGTCCCAGCAGGGCTCCCCCAGCTGCTCCTTGTAGGCGCAGCCACAGCCCTCTGCCAGCTCTGCGCCAGCTTCCTGGGAGGGCTGGGTCGCTGCAGGCTTCGGGAAATGCCCGGCCATCATCACCTGGTGCCCTCCCCTCCAGAGACCGCATGCTTCCCGTGGCTCCCAGCGCCTCGGCCTCCAGGTGCCCGCAGTGGAGACCTGCTTCAGTGTACCCTCCCGCCCCGTTCGCGCCTGGCTCACTCCCCACCGCTGAGTCTCGCGCCATGTCGGGCTGTCCCGGCTGACCGTCCTGGAAGGCAGAGCCGAGCAGGCAGAGCGCAAGGCGGGGCCTGCCATGGCGGACATGCTGAGAAGGTCCCGTCGGGGTGTGTCAGACGTGCGGCTGCAGCCTGGCGGCACAGTGAGATGTGACGTGCAGAGGTGCTCAGAACCCTGCCCACCTGCCTGATCCCCGGGAGCTGGGGTCTGGGCTCCGGGCCTGCGGACGGCGGCTTCGTGCACCCTGCGCGGGCCAGCCTTGGCCTAGGACGCTTTTGTCAAGCAGAGAACGTTCACCTTGTCGTTAGAGGAAGCATGGCTGCTGTCATGGCTGCCCTTGACATCTTGGGGTCACCAGCATCATCACAACATTCATGCTCGGCCCCCGCCAAGCCAAGTAAGAGTGCCGAGCAGAGCGCCGCAGTGCCGGGGCGGCCCCCGATGGCCCTGGAGGGTAGCAGGGGTGACGATAGCCCGGCGAAGGCCTGGCGCACGCCACAGGCTGGGTGGAACGGGACGACACAGGCTCTGACCCGCTCAGGTGGACGCAGACTCCTGGGCTGTCTCTGGCCTGCGGCTGACCACAGAGAAGCCCTGTGTAAGTACAAGTTTGCCTGAGCAGACAGCCATAACTGCCTCCTAGGACTTCTCTGTCACCCATGAGCTAGCAGGCACGTGATCCGTGCAAGCTCAAAGGAATGCCCTGGTCTTCAGAGACGGGAGCCGCGTGACTGGCCAAGAGGGGCAGTTCTCCTCCGCCGTGGAGTCGCAGTCCTGCTGCCAGCGGCCCACTGCTCCTCTGTGGGTTTCGGGGCTGGAGGCACTCAACAGCCACGGACTGGCAGGTGTGACCCGTGCCTCGGGGGGTGGGCAGACCCTGGCTTCCTGCAGGACAGCTGCCCCTCCTCGCCGCCACCCAGCCCCACCTTCCTGCTGCCTGAGGAGGCGCCTCCTGGCACCGGAGAAGGGAGACCGCTCCAGCTGCTGTTCCCTGGCAGACGAGGGGCGCCGGGCTGCCAGCACTGCTCCAGCCGGGGAGCAGGAGGGACCTGAGGTTCCACGAGCCCCGGCCAAAGACAACCAACGCATCCGTTATGCCTCCCCAACCACTGCATCGCTGGGACAGCTCGAGACGGGCAAGGCCTGAGAAGGGGCACCCAGGAGCCAGCAGGGAGGAGTGCCCAGAGCCAGGGGCGAGCGTCCACACGCATGGAGGGGGGCCCAGGAGCGAGTCCGCACACACCGAGGGGGTCCCAGAGCTGGGAGAGCGTCCACACACACGGAGGGGGGCCCGGGAGCGCATGCCCACGTGCATGAGAAATGAAGTCTGGTCCTGCCTCCAGCCAGCAATTGTTGAGGGGCAGGTGGTTCGTGCTGTCGGTCTGTCCAAACAGGGCACCAAACAAGATCTGTCCATGTAGCGATGTTCACATTAAGGATGTTCATGTTGGTGTTTGGGTTTTAAGAGTCTGAGGAAGACATACAAACAGCCAAAGAGCATGTGAGGAAACGCTCGGCATCCCTCATCATAAGGGAGATGCAGATAAAAACCACAATGAGATACCACCTAACCCCTGTCAGAACGGCAAAGATTAAGAATATAAAAAGTGATACGTGTTGGCGGGGATGTGGTGAAAAGGGACAGCATTATTCACGATTGCCAAGACATGGAACCAACCTAGATGTCCACAAACTGATGAATGGATTGGAAAAGTGTGGTATATATACTCTATGGAATACTACTCAGCCATAAAAAATAACAAGACCCTGGCATTTGATAGAAAGTGGTCAGATACGGAGGGTCTATTGCTGAGTGAAGTAAGCCAGGCTATGAAAGAAAGATATTGTATGTATCCACTCAATGTATACCGACTATCCGCACTCTATGGTAGAGAGCGAGAAATTGGAGGACGTAAAAGCAGTGAAGGTACTTAACGAGAATAGGACAGTGTGCATTGGGGGGGTGAAGAGAAGAGGATAGAGAAAGATAGCAAGAGAACAATAGAGAGGCAGGACGGGGGTGAGAAGCAGATAGGGCTTATTACCTGTTGGTGATGACGTGTATAGTATTCTCAACTGGATTGGTCTGAGAAGTATTTCATGATGGGCAAAGTCTTTTTACAACCAAAATGAGAAATAGTGATTGACTGTTTTAAAAAATAATTAGAATAATAATAATGATTGGGGAAAACACTGAAAAGATATTGGATGATGAAGTGGGGATGTTAATGTCTCTGTACTGACTGACAAGCATGGCATTCCCTTGTGAAAAAGCAATGTAATACACTGTAAAGTTATATGCAATCCAGTGTATTATAAACAAGATTATGATGATAATAAGAATAAAAGAAAGAGTCTGTAGGACATGAGTTTTACGTTCTTCCCTGAAACGTAGTTGGGAGCCTTTTACACTTTAGTCTTAAACAGCACAATCTTCCTTCCAAGACAGACTGACTCCTTAAGGAGTCCACATTTGACCCAGCACAAGCCCAGTCTCCCTTGGGACCACCGCAGAGGTCCCCGGGCAGGGGCTGTGCCAGTCGGAGGGGTGCACTACTGCCTTTACAGAGAGGGTGCTCCGGACCAGCGGGAGGAGCCGGCTGGACACCCATATGGCCCGCTGCAGTTTCAGTCCGGGACCTGGGGGCTCAAAAATCACACCAGGCGCGTGCGTGCCCGAGATCCCGAGAGGAGAATGGGGGAGCGGGGGTTGTGGAGTGGCCATCCCCTGGGGGTGATTTCTCGCTTTCTCTCTCTCTCCACCTCTCTCCTCTCCAGTGAGTACATGGGGGGGGGCCCTCCCCAGCCACAAGCACAGTAGTCGTCACACGCCCATCAGTTCCCATGCTCAAACCATGTCCTACGTCAGCCTAAGGCTGGCGTTTCTTTTTTTAATTATTTTTTGAGAGCTTTTTGCTATAGGGTGTGTGCACTTATCAGAGAGACAGAAAGTGAGAAATAACCC